GCCGAGCCAGGAGAAGTGAGGTGTGGTCCATTCTGTCAGGTTCTTCCGTAATGTTGCCATCAGTGGGGTGAAGTTCATATGGTAAAGTTTGGATAGGTCGGCCGTGAGCTTCACCCCCAGGTATTTTATAGCGGTGTCTTGCCATTGGAAGGGAAAATTTCTTCGGATTTGGTCTGCCCTCTTCCCGGGGAAGCCAATGTTAAGTATAGAGGATTTAGCGTAATTGATCTTAAGGTTGGCGATTTCGCCATATGTCTTTAACTCTGCCATAAGGTTTGGGAGGGAGATTTCTGGGTTCGTTATAAAAAATAGCATATCGTCTGCATATGCTGCGATTTTGTGGTGGTCTGCCTCCACCGCTACCCCCGAGATATCTGGGTTGTCCCTTACCGCTTGTAGGAAGGGCTCCAAGGTCAGGATAAACAGAAGCGGCGACAGAGGGCAGCCCTGCCTGGTTCCATTCCTGACCGGGAATGCGTCTGTATAGACCCCATTTATGCACACCCTGGCCGTGGGGGACGAGTAGAGGGCCTCTATCCACTGGCGCATGTGGGTCCCCAGGCCAACATGCTCCAGTACCGAGAACAGGTAGTCCCACGCCACCCTATCGAAGGCCTTCTCCGCGTCCGTAGAGAGGAGGAGGAGGCCCTTCGAGGAGCGCTGTGCGTGGTGGATCAGGGAGAGGGCCCGGACCGTATTGTCCCGGGCTTCCCTGTGGGGGACGAATCCCACTTGGTCAGGTGAGATTAAGTCTGGTATGTGTGGATTCAACCTTGTAGCTAGTATTTTAGCGAATAGGCGTAGGTCGCAGTTAAGCAACGATATCGGTCGGTAGCCCGTGCACCGTTCGGTATCTCCCCCCTCCTTCGGCAGCAGGACAATATTGGCCGCTAGTGTTTGCTGGGGGATAGTATTTCCCTCTGTTATAGAGTTGAAGGCCGAGATAAATTGGGGGGACAATGTGGCCAGGAAGGTTTTATAGTATTTGAGAGGGAGGCCGTCTGGGCCTGGGCTTTTGCCGGTCTTCGAGGATTTGATGGCTAGGGCCAGTTCCCCCTCCGTAAGGGGCGCCTCCAAAGCCTCCGCTGCGTCCGAGGAGAGTTTAGTTTTAGTGTATTTAGTGAGGTATGCGTTCATGCGGGTCAGTCCCACGTTAGGGTCCGCCCGAGGGGCGTGGGGGGGAATCGCGTAAAGGTCCGTGTAGAAGCGGGTTACAGCTGTAGCGATTTGATCTGGCATGTGGTGTAGTTGGCCTGCGGCGTCGCGCATGCGTGCAATATATGTCATGGAGCGTTTTTTGTTGATCATTCTGGCCAGCAACCTGCCGCACTTATCCCCTTCTGTGTAGAAGAATGATTTAGTGCGCTGGAGGGCCCTAGTGTACGATTGCCGCAGGGTCCGTGCTAGTTCTTCACGGGCTGCTATGAGTTCCCCGAGAAGTGTGTCGTCTAGTGTTTGCTTGTGGGCCTGTGTTAGGGTCCCTATCTTGGCCGTTAGTTCTCGGATCGTGTGGTCCCGTGCCTTCTTCAGGGCAGAGGAGTGTGAGATGAGAATCCCTCTCATCACACACTTGTGGGCCTCCCATGTCAAGAGGGGGGATGTGTCCTGTGGTAAGTTCTCGGTGAAGTAGTTTGTCAGGGCTTGTTGTACGTCTTGGGCCACCTGCGGGTTGGATAGGAGGTTTTCGTGGAGCCGCCATGTCGTGGTTTTGGGTTTGTGTAGTGGCGATGTAAGTTGGATTGTGAGTGGTGCGTGGTCGGACCACATGGACCTCCCTATGGCAGAGTCCCGCAGTCTGGGTAGATAGTAGTATGGCAGAAAGAAGTAGTCGATGCGTGTGTAACAGTCATTCGGGGTCGAGTAGAAGGTGTAGTCCCTAGCTGTCGGGTGTGTTGCCCTCCAACAATCTGTAAGCCTGTACTGATGGAGAAGTTTACGAATCTTAAGCAGTGTGGGGGGGGGTGTCGATGAGTGGCCCCTGGATGCGTCCATTGTCGGGTGTAGAGCAATGTTGAAGTCCCCACCCAGGACCAGACAGCCCGTCGTGAAGTCGTGGAGGGCCCGGAGTGTGTCCCGGAGGAATCTGTCCTGTCGTGTGTTTGGAGCGTAGATGTTGGCAAAGGTATAGGTTTCCTCCAGGATTTTACCCTTAACGAATACGTATCTGCCCAAGTTATCAGTCATGGTCGAGTCAGCTACAAAGGGTATGGATTTGTGTAGGAGTATTGCTGTCCCCCTTGATTTCCCATCTGGGTTATTGCTGTAGAAGCCTTGGGTGTATATATGGTTGCAGAGTTTCGGAGCAGCGTTGGTTTTAAAGTGGGTTTCTTGGAGGTAGACCACATGGGCTCTAGTTTTCTGACTGAGGCGTAGCGCATGTGACCTCTTTTCGGGGGAGTTTAAGCCCTTGGCGTTTAGGGATAAGAAGTTGAGTGGGGCCGGTGCGTATTTGGGTGCGTGTGTAGCCATAGTGTCAAGTCCCGTGGGTGTCGAAGTTGCCCCGGTCAGTGGGGGCCTAGGTAGGTCGAGCCCGGCCCAGGGGCAAGCGGGGGAGCGGACGACTCCGCCCGACGGAGCGCAGAGGGGGCCGCCCTCGCAATGGAGCAGAGGCACCGGTGTCAGGGGGGTAGAGATCCCCCAGCCCGGAGACCGGAGCGGGGGATGACCCTCCCTATACAGTAGACACCGACCTCACGGGGAGTGGAAGGCGCCTTGTCAACCCGCCAACAGCGGCGGCTGTGGATCAAAACAAACACCAACAGGTGTAACTTAAACCTGTGAAAACTGCTGTCGCGCCCCGGGGCGAGTCTCCCAGGGTACGGTCGAGTACCAACTGTAACTGTAACCTGTTGTGTGTCTGCAGGGACTCGCACCCGGGTCCCGACGTTGTCCTGTCTGAAGGGAGGATGTACTAGCCTACCCAGGGCGTAACCCCCTGTCTACTGTGCGGGTGTTTAGGGTGTTGGTGGACCCTCCCTCCCCCCAACCCGTTCCCCCCATGCGCATCAGTGTAGCCCCGTGGTGTCGTTTCTCTGTCCCTAAAAGTGGTCTGGAAAGCCTGTGTCCCCCCGAATTGCGTCCCGGTTAACGGACCTCCCTTGTGGGTTCCCCCTTCAGTGTAGTGGTGGGTTGTGTCGCTCTGGTTGCGGCACGTCTCTGGGTTGTGTACGCGGGTGCTCATACCATATTGCGTATAGAACTGTACCCAGGTGTAGCGTGGTCTAGCACCTATCCAGTGTTGCATGCGAACCCCTAGACCCTGGGAACTTGCGCGTGCGCCGACCCTGTGGTATGAGTGATAGCCAGGCGTGGGACGTGCAGGAGCATACGTCGTGTTGTACCCCGTCCCATGGTGCTAGTGGCGTGTGCGGGTGTGTGCGCAGGGTAACATGTGTACCAAGAAGCACTGTGTTAGCCTGCGCTGGCAGATCTACACATATATACACATTCACATATATACACACAATGGTTCATGTAGTGC